TTATCAGTTGAAAAGAGGTGCTCGGAAGCCCCTGCTGCATACCGAAGCTGAGCCTGGTGTGGCCATCGCGTGGGCGCTCGACATTCCGCATCCCCTGTGTACTGAACTTGAGCTTGACTCAGCCATCTCAGCATGTATAGACGCGCTCGCTTGCAATCGCAGGACCGTTGAGGATCGACGTCACCAAGACTTGATCACTTGGGAACAGCGTGCTATTCAGCTGATGCCGCTCACAGAACAATTGATCAATGAGGTCCCTGACATTCACTTGCGTCGACTGCTGCGTGGAGCTCCGGATGGGCACCCATGCCAACTCGGCACTACCTGTCATGTTGCTCTGTACTCGGCGATGTTGCACGCATGTGACTCCGTGGACCGATTCATGCCCGACCTCTTGCTCGCAGGTTTCCCTATTGTAGGCCCCATTGCTCGTTCACAGCGGTGGCCCGCATATGAGAAGCCGCAGCAGGTTTTGTCGATCGATCATGCTTGTTCTAGGGCCTGGGGAATCAGGTCAAAGATCGTTGCAAGAGTCGCTGGTGTCCCAGTCTCTGATAATCTCAGGAAAATCTGGGAGGCAACTCTAGAAGATGTTCAGGAGGGCTCATCGCTTGGACCTTTCGTGTCAGCAGAAGAGATCTCCTGCCTGCTAGGGTGTGATGACTGGATCCCGACCCAACGCTTTGAAGTAGTTCAGAAGAACAAAGTCCGTGGTTGCGATAGTGCCACGACTAATTTAATCAACCAAATAACTAGGATCACCGAAAAGCTCCAGTTGCCTTCGACCGACACGAACGTTGCCGCACTAAGGAAGCTCAGATCGATGATGCCTGACTCGCTCTTTGCAGGTTGGGTACTGGACGAACGGAAAGCCTATCGGCAGGTAGGCATTCGGCCAGCGCACAGGAAGTTCGGTGTCATTTGCCTCAAAAATCCCAGCTCCGGCAAACCTGAATTTTTCGTGATGGTTGGACACTCGTTCGGACTGGTGTCAGCTGTGTACAATTACAATCGTAGGTCTGCTGCCATCAATGAGATTCTGATGTCCCTGTTCGGGCTAGTGGCTTTCAACTTTTATGATGACAAATATGGTTTTGAACCCGTTGAAACGATCAACTCAGCCTTTCTCGTGGCTCAGAAAGTCCATTTTTGGCTAGGTGCAGCCTTCGATGTCAAAAAGCTACAGCTCACGGATAAGCCGGTCGTGCTAGGGGTGACCTATAATTTGGTTGATTGGGTATTAGAGATTAAGGAAAGCCGTCGCAGAGAGCTGATCGAAGAGATGAGCTCTATCTTGAAGTCAGACTCTCTCGATCCGGGCCAGGCGGGTAAGCTGAAGGGGAAACTCCTCTTCGGAGCTAGCCAGCTCTGGGGGAAAGTCGGGAGAGCCTTCTTGAGGCCCATCTCCGAACGGCAATACTCTCGGTTTGCCAAAGACGATCGTTTTGGGCTAGATCCTGCTCTGAGAGAATCCCTGAGACAATGGTTGAAGCTCGTGGATGCGGGACCCCCGAGGCCGATCGATTTCTGCGCAAACAAACGCGCTGATTGTGTTCTTTTTACTGACGGTTTTTCCCCCGATCCAAGAGAAGAGGGTCGGCTCCCCGACAGGATCGGAGCTGTGCTCTTCGATCGTAGGTGCATGAACCCTGCTCAGTTCACTGCCAGCGTGCCTCTTGAGGTGAAGAAGAGATGGTGCGAGCGCAAAACGCAGATCATACCAGTTGAGATGGTCGCGACGATCGTCGCACTGAACTCCTTTGCCGATCAGCTGTTTCGAACAGATTTGTTCCTTTTCACGGATTCGGAAGTGGTGGAAGCGGCCTTAGTGAAGGGCTACTCTAGCAAAGAGGATATCTGCCTTCTCGTCTCCGAATTTTGGGACATCGTTCGAACCTTGCACACTCGTGTTTTCATAGACAGGGTTGCAACTGATTCGAATCCGGCGGACGCGCCATCGCGTGACGATCTAGTCACAGGGCAGAACGCTGGATGGAAGACGATCGAGGCCGTCTGGCCCGACAAGATACTCTCGTAAGCCTGCTTGGAGTGTCGACCGCTCGGTTCAAAAATGATGAGGAGGAGGTGGGGGCCTGGGATCAGTGTGAGGTGATTCTCATACTGTGGTGTTCAGTCCATTGT